AGGGCCGGAGGGAGGTGCCGAGGTGCCCACATACTTACGCACACAGACAGGGGTCTTGCCGGACCAGCGGTGGTCCTGCTGGCAGATGCGCACGGACATGCCGATGAGGCGGAACCCGGGGCTGCACTGGTACACCACGCTGCCCCGGTAGTTGTAGTTCTCCCCGTTGATCTGCCCGTTCACAATGGGGCTGGGGACGCCGCAGTGCCCGGCTGGGGGGGAAGGACAGTCACTGGGAATCACCGGGAATCACCACGGGAATCACCGCGGACGCCCCCGGAGGGCATCGCCCATCCCCGAACCTCTCTGGGGAATTGGAGAATCCCAGAATGGTTGGGCTTGGGAGGGACCTTAAAGATCATCTCGTTTCAACCCAGGGACACCCCTCACTAGCCCAGGTTGCTCCAAGCTGGCCTTGGACACTCCCAGGGATGGGGCAGCCACAGCTGGCCCTGCACAGACACCCCAACAATCCCACCCTGTCCTTGAGAGGATCATCCAAACCCTCCTGGAGCTCTGGCAGCCTTGGGGCTGTGCCCACTGCCCTGGGGAGCCTGGACAGTGCCCAACCACCCTCTGGGGGAAGAACCATTTTCTAACATCCAACCTCACCCTGCCCTGAGTCCTTGCTTGCAGCAAGTAGAAAAAACCCCCCAGTTCCCTCCCAAAACACCATCAGGACTCTTTCTAACGCCGTGGACGCTGCCACTGGGGCTCTTTCCCAACAAACCCCACACCTACCCAGACATCTGACCTCTGCCCCGCTCCAGAGCCCGTTGGCCATGCACTCCCTGACCCGGGAGCCCACCAGGGTGTAGCCAGTGTTGCAGGAGAAGATGGCTGTGGCCCCGTAGCTGGTCAGGGTCCCGATCTTGTTCCCGTTGGGAGGCGTCGGCAGGTCCCCGCAGGAGATAACTAGGACAGACCCCAAAAGCACCGTCAGCAAAACCAGGCTGGGAGCAGCTGGTTTGGGAAGAACCTTTCTCAGTCACTCCTTAGTGGAGTAAGGAATGAGTGGGAAAGATTATTAAGTAGTTACAAGGATAATAACAATTCAGAGCTGTGTCAGACAATGTGACAAATACAAGTGCCGTTAATATTTATGTTCAGGACACGAGGGGAGTGCTAAAGACAGGCCAGGAAGAAACTAAAGGAGCTTTTCACACGGAAAGTTTCTCACACAGGAATGTTTCTGCCATTAACCCATTGTCAGGTGCAGTGGGAAACTTGACTTGTAGGAATTCCACAACATCACACGATCCCAGAATGGTTTGGGTGGGAAGGGACCTTAAAGTTCATCCTGTTCCA